TCCAAGAATGGCTGAAGGGGGGCTGGAGAGATGGCTCAGGGTTAAGAGCACTGACTGTTCTTCCAGAGGTCCTGAGTTCAATTCCCAGCAACCACATGGTGGTTTACAACCATCTACAATTCAATCTTTCTGATGCCCGGTTCTGCCATGTAGGCAGGACACTGTATATGTAATAAATAAATAAATAAATCTTAAAACAAACAAAAAAAGAATGGCTGAAGGTTGGGAATTCAGGCTAGATCTTGTGCACTGCTATAGCCTTCAAAAAATCCCAAGAATCCTTGTTAGGCAGTGCTGGCACATGCCTTTAATCCCAGCATTTGGGAGGCAGGTAGTTTACAAAGGGAGTTCCAGGATAGCCAGGGCTGTTACACAGAGAAACCCTGTCTCAGAAAAAAAAAAAAAAACCAACCAAATAAATAAATAAACAAATGTTCAGAATAGACAAATCCTTAGGGACAGAAAATTGGTTGACCAAGGGTAAAGAGAGAGCAAAATGATGAATGACTGCCGTGCGTTGTAGGGTTCCTTCCCCAGATGATCTAAAGAGCGGTACCCAGAGAAAGGATACACAGTGTTATGAATCACTAAAGTCTACTGAGTTGTACTTTTTTTTTTTTAACTTGGGAAGCTTTATTGAGGGAAGGGAAGGGGAGGGAAGAGAGAGGGAGAGGAGAGGAGAGGGAGAGGGAGAGAGAGAGAGAGAGAGAGAGAGAGAGAGAGAGAGAGAGAGAGAGAGAGAGAGAGAGAGAGAGAGAGAGAGAGAGAGAGAGAGAGAGAGAGGGAGAGAGAGAGGGAGAGAGAGAGGGAGAGAGAGAGAGAGAGTTGCCTCCCAGAGGCATGGCAGAAAGAGAGCCTGAGTTGTACTTTTGTTTTGTTTCGAGACAGGGTTTCTCTGGTAGCTTTGGAGCCTATCCTGGCACTTGCTCTGTAGACCAGGCTGGCCTCTAACTTACAGAGATCTGCCTGTCTCTGCTTCCTGAGTTCTGGGATTAAAGGCTAAGGTGTACTTTTTGAAACATTTTATTTGTTATGCAGTGTTCTGCCTGCATGTATGCCTATATGCCAGAAGAGGGCGCCAGATCTCATTATGGGTCGTTGTGAGCACCATGTGGGAATTGAACTCAGGACCTCTGGAAGAGCAGCTAATGTTCTTAACCTCTGAGCCATCTTTTCAGCCCTGAGTTGTACTTTTTAAAGATGAATTTTATAATTATTTGATAATTGCAACTAAAGTATCTGTCATTTATATCACACCACAAAAGTAGCTAAAACAAATTTTTTTGAATTTCTGAAAATAGGAGTATTTCTGAAATTTGTAAACAAGGGAATTTTAAGTGGAGTGCTGGTAAATCTGTGCCCCTTTGAAATGTATATATATGTGCCTTTTGGTATGTATCTCTGTATGCCAATTGGTTTATACAAATGTGTATACTGTATTTAGAAGTTTTTCTCCAGTAGACAGAACAAGACAGAGAAAAACAACCACAGAGAGTAACTTTTGTCTGTATGTGTACATTTTGGATTTCCTGCCTAGCTATATTCTGCCTGGTCATTAGTGAAAACAGCTTTTCTTTATCAACCAATAAAGGCAACACATACTCAAAGCCTACAGAAGGACATCCCATATCATCTTCCCTTCTCTGTCTCATTGGAAAGGAAGTCTTTAATTTTATTCATTTTCTTTTTTATTATTATTTATTTTTAAATTTAAATTTAAATTAAAAACAAGGTTGCTTCGCAACTCAGTTCCAGGTCCCTCTCTGTTTCCCTCCCCCTCCTCCCATGCCCTCCCCCACACCCCCCCCATATCCCCTCATTTCCCCAGGGAGGGTGAGGCCCTCCATGGGGGTGTCCATAGTCTGTCATTTCATCCAGGGCAGGGCCTAGACCCTCTCCCAAGAGTTCAGGGTGAGAGTTCATCTCACATTGTTGGATGGGAGTCCGAAGTCCATTTGTATACCCAGGATAAATACTGATCACTGCCCAAGGCTCAATAGATTGCCAAGGCCTCCTCACTGACACCCACATTCAGGGGGTCTTGATCAGTCCCATGCTGGATTCCGAGGCATCAGCCTGGGATTCAAGAGCTAACCCTTGTCAGGTCAGCTGTTTCTGGGGGTTAAACCAGCCCAGTCTTAATCCCTTTGGTCATCAGTCCTCCCTCTCTGTTACTGGCTTTCTTGAGTTCAGCTCAGTGCTTTGCCATGGGAGTCTGCCTCTTCTTCCATCAGCCACTGAATGAAGGTTCTGTTTCCCAGACTCTCTGGCCATGGGATTGTAGGCTGGCACTCCCCAGATCTATGTCTAAAATCCATATATGATAGAGTACATGCCATGTTTCTCTTTTTGTGACTGGGTTACCTCACTCAGGATGGTTTCTTCTAGTGTCATCCATTTGCCTGCAAATCTCAGGATTCCATTGTTTTTTTCTGCTGAATAGTACTTCACTGTGTAAATGTACCACATTTTCTCTATCCACTCTTCGGGTGAGGGACATCTAGGTTGCTTCCAAGTTCTGGCTATTACAAATAATGCTGCTATGAACATAGTGGAACAGATATCCTTGTTGTATGAATGGGCATCTTTTGGATATATGCCTAAGAGTGGAGTTGGAAGTCTTTAATTTTAACATAGTAAAATTACATGTAACAAAATAATTATCAAGCAATAATTAAGTTACAATATTTAGTCTGTTTGCATTTAAGAAAATACTCTATCATCTATCCTGTCTTTGTGAGTCTAAAGTTTTATATCTAATTTACCTTTTATAATAACTAAGGAAAACTATAAAACTGTAACTGTCTTTAACTCCATCAAAGACCCCAGAAAGATATATTACCTAAGTAAAGAGGAAATACATTGTAAGCAGCTTCCAAAATCCTATAAATGACAGAGACATCTGGATGCCTGGACAGCCACCTAAAGTTCCTCTGCAATGTTGGTGCATTCATCTGTAGTCTATAGGCCTAGAGTGTCTGACAGACTTCTCAGTGAAGCAGGGAATTTACGTCAGTTGCTTTCTTCTGTGTCCTGCAGAATGCCTGGCAGTTTCCTCTGTGAAGCAGACACCCTGAAGGACTCTCCTGTCTTGTTGAGCAGTCATGTTCTTGTGGGTCCTACATGTCCAGTTTATACACCATACAGTGAATCATTCCAGGCAACAGCAGTTTCTTGCCCACTTGGTTAGCTTTTACCATAAAGAAAACAAACTCCACATTGAGTTTCTTCAATGCCCATCATCTTCTCTGAAGTAGATCGGTGTTACCAGGAGCAGACATCTCATTTTCATGAGAAGCCTAAGTGTTTGTTTTTTTTGTTTTTTTTTCCAGACAGGGTTTCTCTGTGGATTTGGAGGCTGTCCTGGAACTCGCTCTTGTAGACCAGGCTGGAATTAAAGGTGTGTGCCACCACTACCCGGCTGAGAAGCCTAAGTTTTTAAACCATTTTAAATGTCTTTGAAGTGTTTGCAGATTTATCCATCTGAAATATATCTCTGTATATCTAGAAAACCTAACTAATATGACTATAAGTTTGACTATTATAGATAACTATTAATCTGTATTTCTTAAGTATACATTACATTTTTAAATCCTGCTGACTACACCAGAGCAAATGTGAGTTTACTTCCTACTCCAGCTTTTTCGGTTCTCAAGTAGCACCCCAGGCCACACCCTAAGGCCGGTCCCCCAAAGCTATTGGAGGAAGGAATTCCCACAACAATCTCAGTCTCCAATAGGTTGTAGATGTGAGAGCAGAAAGGCTGGATCAAAAGGACCATGCAAAGGGATCTAAGAATTCATGCTATATACATTTATGGTATACGTGAGTCTTTAGGGCTGTTCAGGGTGGTATGCAAAGGAATTCAGCTATGACTATGCTACTTCACCCAAATTATTAATAAGAATTTAGGTCTTGTTTGTTTTTTGAAACAGGGTTTCTCTGTATCCGTTTTGGAGGCTGTCCTGGAACTCACTCTGTAGAACTGGCTGGTCTCGAACTCACAGAGCTCCGCCTGCCTCTGCCGCCCGAGTGCTGGGATTAAAGGCGTGCACCACCAATGCCCGACTAATTTTACAGTTTCTAATTGTGTGTGTGTTGAAGGATCAACCTGCTATCCTATAGTAAAGACAAACTCAGTCTCCAGTAGATTGTAGATTTGTCAGTATACCTCTGTTTCTCAAAGATTGGGCTATTCCCCACTTGTAACCTTAACTACAAACAGTTTTGTGCTTCCTGTTCCAGGAATGGCAATCATGTCTTTGTTTCAAAAAGTTGTTTATTATTGTTTTGCAATCCTACCTAAAAGGTTATATGATCACCTTGTTATGACTACCTGTTATTATGCCCACCTTGCAACCATGTCTGTTTCAGGTGGTAAAACCAACTTGTTATTCCTTTTTATGCTTACATTCTGCTTCTGTAACCACGTCTATTTTGCCTGCCAAATCCTCCATTTGGAAACCCATAGGCCAGAGCTCTATGAAAAATATGTTTTCTTCACATCTAATGCTCTGGAAGCCCGCCTTAGGGAGAGATAGCCCGTGTACACGAACAAACTTGCTTTAATTAATTGCTTGCTTTAACTAATTAGGCAGAGATGATTTGGATCTGTGGTCTTTCTCCTCCCATCTTTGGGAATAACAGTGTCTTGAGAAAATGTTTTTGTATCACTTCTGCCTCCAAACTATCCGTCTGTTCAGAGGATATCAGCAGAAAACAGAGGGAAAACTGCCAGACAGCGGGGGACTGCGGAATTCCAGTTAGACAAGACGGAAGTGGTCACAAGAAACTTGCATCTGAAATACACTTCCAAATTGCAATAGTAATTTTAAGTCGCCTTTTCCTAAACGGCATTCCTAAGCAGAGACACAACCACATTTTCATCCTCAGCACAAACGAGGATCTGCTCCATTTAGAGGAACATCTCTTCTTCCAGCCCCGGAAACGCACGGAACCACGTAGCTGAGGGCTCTGATTCTCTGCCGGGCTCTTGTCACCAGAGGACCAGCCGCCTGGCGGCGTTGCCGTGGAGACGGAGCTGGCAGTGTGGATGTGGCAACTCGCCTGGGCACAGCCTTTGCTGACGGTCTGCTGCAGGGGCTCACAGGACCGACGCCAATATGGTTAGTGGCTCTGAATATTAAGGGATGGGGGGCTTCGGATAGGTTTTTCCCCGGGCTTAGAGTTCCCAGCACACTACTGGATAGAACCTAAGTGTGTCTGCAGAGGGCGATCCCCTTATTCCTCCAGTGTTTCCACCGGGGCTAGCGAGGGATGCAGAGAAAAATGCCTCGATGCTCCCTTCCCTCCTGCTTCTCCATTTCCCGACACCAGATCCGCTTGTGGACTGGTAACAAGAGCCAGGGAAGGATGAGATGGTAGGAGCTGCGGGAATTGTTCGTGTCTTGTGGACAAGTAGTTGGAAGTAGCTATTTGGTTCTCCTTCAGAGGCGATGGCCCTTTTGATAAAACGCGTCTTTAAAAAGTATCTGAACAGACTTACTAGTATTCGTTGATAAGGAATTGGCTTGTGGATCACAGAGCTGTTACTCTCGATTAAAAAAAAAAGACTTTTGAGTTGAACCGTCTTTGCCGTTTGTTTTACAGATGCTTTCAAGGGCCAAACCCGCCGTGGGCGGCGAGTCACCGCACACCGACAAAAGAAAGAAGAAAGGTAGGAAAATTCCAAAACTAGAGGATCTGCTTTCGCAAAGAGATTTCACCGGCGCCATTACCCTATTGGAGGTAATGTCCAAAGAAGGGTTCCTTTTAAGTCTGGTGAATGTCGGGGTGAATGCTGGTTACTATGCTATTGGTATAGGTGGGTACATTCTGGGGAATCCGTGTAAATATAGCCAGACACATATTCCAGATTGCAAGTTAACTATAAACCTGATAAAATATTTTAAAAATTTGGACTGGAGAGACGGCTCCACAGTTAAGAGCACTGGCTCAGCCGGACGGTGTACATGCCTTTAATCCCAGCACTTGGGAAGCAGAGACAGGCGGATCTCAGCGAGTTCGAGGCTAGCCTGGTCTACAAAGCGAGTTGCAGGACGGCCAGAGCTGTTACACAGAGAAACCCTGTCTTGAAAAAAACAAAAAACAAAAAAACAAACCCAAACAAAACCTGCTCTTCCCGAGGATCTCGATTCCCAATACCTATATGTCTGCTCACAATCGTTAGTAACTCCAGTGCCAGGGGGTCCAAGGTCTTCTGACCTCCTTCAACACCAGGAACACACATGGTGCATAGAAATAAATGAAGATGCCAGATGGTGGTAGTGCATGCCTTATTATTATTATTATTATTATTATTATTATTTTTATAGTGCATGCCTTTAATCCCAGCACTCAGGTGGATCTCTTTGAGTTTAAGACCAGCCTGGTCTGCAGAGTGAGTTCCAGGATAGGCTCCAAAGCTACACAGATAAACCCAGTCTCAAAAAACAAAACAAAACAAAAAGATAGATGAAGACAAAACACTCATACACTTAAAACTAGCTTTTTTTTCTGGTCCCACAGACGGTGGATCTAACCTAAAAATACAGCATTACACATGATAAATGTCAGTTCACACATTGTCATAATTCCTGAGTGATTTATAACTTCTTTCTATTTATGGTATTTTGCTTGAAAAATTAAGTGATTGTACCGTGTTTATTTTTAAAATGTTGTAAACCCGTAGAGCTTTTCAGCTCTGCGTGTCAGGGTCATCTCTTTCTAGGGCTGGGGGTCAAGCTCAGGGCATCAAGGAAGCAATTATGCCGCAGATCTACACCCCAGCTCAGCCGCAGCGTGTAGAGCTCACCTCTTACTATTGGAGTGCCAGGATAGTCGCTCAGATGTTTGTATTCCCAGGCTAGTGGTTTACCTATGTGAATTCCCTAGGTCTGCTGTGGCGTTCGGGAGGGCGGGCACATTTCGGGTGGGTGGTTTCAGGAGTGCCTCTGGCAGAAGCTGCCCTGGGAGACTGGGCTGGGGACGCTGGCATGAAAAGCGGATGGGAGGGGTTGTGAAGGGTGCCCCAGAGAATAGAGCCCCGACAGCACGGTCTGGTTGTGCTGTGCTGCAGCCTGTTACAGTATTGCGTTTTCCACTCGCCCTTTAATGCAAATCTATAGTTACACATCTCTGAAACTGTCGATAATAGTTGCTTTGATTAGCTTTATGTATGTTGCTCAGTATTCCATGCCCCCCAATCCTGAGTGTCTCGCTAGTGCTTTGATATTGAGTCCAATTGTTTGGCTTTGCTGTGTCAACTCATCTCTTGCAGTAGGAGAGCTGACTTCTGGCAGTGAAAATCAGAGGACTGAATATCATATACATTTCTATTGTTTTTTAAGACAGGCTGGTCTCAAACTCAGAAATCCACCTGCCTCTGCCTCCCAAATACTGGAATTAAAGGTGTGCATCACCTACTTGACTACGTGTCTGTGTTTTGAAAAGGGTTCATAAAATGACGTGTGGAGTTGTGTCTGCATGTGGGTATGTGGGCCTGGATGCAGGTGCCATAAGAACTGGACCCCCTGCAGCTAGGGTGACAGGAAGTCGTGTGCTGCCTTATGAGGGTTTCGGGAACTGCACTCGGGTCCTCTAGAAGAGCAGCAGCAAAAGCACATGTACACATAATCAAAAATAAAATACCAGCCGGGTGTTGGTTGCGCACGTCTTTAATCCTAGCACTCGGGAGGCAGAGGCAGGTGAATCTCTGTGAGTTCGAGGCCAGCCTGGTCTACAGAGCGAGTTCCAGGACAGCCTCCAAAACAATACAGAGAAACCCTGTCTTGAAAAACCAAAATAAAATAAAATACCTGGGCTGATGAAAACAAAGCAAAATCAAAACAATACAAAACAAAAAAGCTTAGGGAGAAAGGGTTTTTTCAGCTCATAATTCCAAGTGACTATCCATACTGAGGGAAGGGAGCGCAGAAATCTGAAGGCAGACCTGCTTACAATTCTATACAGTATTACTTCTGTCTAAGGAATTTGCTTTTCAACCAAAGAGGCACTGTATGTTGGTTTATTTGTTTGAGACAAGGTCTCTATGTAGACCAGGCTGGCCTTAAACAGTAGAGCAGGCTGGGTGCAGAACATGATGCCACCACAGCAGACTGGTCTTGAATTCACAGAGTTCCACCTGCTTCTGCCTCCTGAGTGCTGGGATTAAGGTTGTCACCCAGCTAAGAATGTACCGCTATGCCCAGCTCCCTAAATTGTTTTGCTCAGGTATTTATCAGAACAGTGGAAATGAAACTAGAATGAGTGGTAATTGAGAATCCTTCTCAATCCTTCCTCGCAAGTAAAACTTATCTTTTGTCAGGCGAGGAATTCCTAAGTTTTTGTAGTGGACACAAACTAGACTATCTTCTGTACACCTTTAACTCAGTTAGTCTTTAAGCTAGCCTCATGGGATAATAGAATGAATGTCTTCAGAGGAGGGTAATGAACTATTAATATGCATGTGTGGTAACGGGATAAAAGTTAAGTGTAATATTAAATGCAGCAAAACCCAGTGGTGGGATCCTAGACTTTGGAGGCAGACGTGACTTTAATCCCTATTCCGACAGCGACAGGGACTGACCGTGTGATCTCAGAACCATTGCGTGGCCCCTACCCTTCCGTCATTTAGCTTTAAATATTTTTTGTTTTTGAGACAGGGTCTCTCTGTGTAGCCCTGGCTGTCGTGGAACTATCTCTGTAGATCAGGCTGGTCTCGAACTCACAGAGATCCTCCTGCCTCTGCCTCCCAAGTGCTGGGATTAAAGGTGTGCGCCACCACCACCGCCACCACCACCACCACATGACTGGCTTCAAATGTTTTACATAATTCTTGCACATCATCCAGAGTTACTAAATAACTCACATACTTTGTGGAATAAGGTGCTAGCAAACACAGAAAAACAAATCCAGCATGTGACATTAGGTAACTGCTGACTCCTGTCAGTGGAGGCTTCATTGAACTGCACATTGTTTGACTTTTTTTATTCAGAAGTTTATCAGTCACTCAGCATAGCTTAAAAAAAATAAAACGAATAACAGAGCTGGAGAGATGGCTTAGTGATTAGCGGTTAAGATCATGGGCTGCTCTTCCAGAGGAGTGGGTTCAAATCCTAGCATCTACAAGACAGCTAATGACAGCTTTCTGTAACTCCAAGATCTGGCACTCTCACACAGACATACATACAGACAAAACACCAATGCACTTAAAAATAAATAAATTATTGGCCGGGCGTTGGTGGCACACACCTTTAATCCCAGCACTTGGGAGGCAGAGACAGGCAGATCACTGTGAGTTCGAGACCAGCCTGGTCTACTGAGTGAGTTCCAGGACAGGCTCCAAAACAATACAGAGAAACCCTGTCTCGAAAAACCAAAAAAAAAAAAAAAAAAAAAAAGTAAATAAATTATTAAAAATATTTACTATTAAAATCTTTTTTCGTGTTGTTTTTTTTTTCATGACATTTAATAAGAAGTTCAAGCGCCATGTTGGGGAGCAAGAAGAGGATACTAATTTGTGGATTGGATACTGTGCTTTTCACCTGGGTGACTACAAGAGCGCTTTGGAGGTTAGTGAAAAAGGAATCACATGGTGTTTAAAATGACATTATATGGCACGCACTCATGGTAACAGCAGAAGGAAATAATGCAGATGAAAACAAAGTACAAAGAAAGAAATTGCTCTGTCTTCCCCAATCCTACGTCTTTTAATGAAGGCCCCACTGACCCTTCTTAATGTGCTGATTCAGAGAGCGGTGGGGAATGGTGGCAGCACACCTGTAATATTGTGGGGATCTCTCTGGAGTAAGCACTGTGGAAGACAGGAGATGCCACTGGTGGGCTGAAGCCAGAAAGCTTCTGGAAGACTTTCATCGCAGGTCCAGTTTGTGTCTTCATTTCATACTCGCTGTAAGATTTTATAGACACTGCAGCGACGGCCAGTGATGGGCTGCAGCCCATGATCCCAGCTGTGCGGGTGACGTCATAAGTGGCAGATAGCAGCACTAGCCATGCTTTAAGTAAATATTGGAATGGTCTTTTCTTCCTCATTCTACTTGAATATGAAGTGGATGGGGAGATACATGAAGGGGGGCGTGTTTACAGAGGTATGCAGTGGGAAGTCAGGACGTAGGCTAGAGGAAGAGGTGGGGGAGCCAATGGAAATGCTTTCGGGAAATCTGCTAGCTTGTAAGTTAGTTAGAAAAATAATGAGACAAATATTGTGCTCAGTTTCACACTTTGCTGTATAACATAAGCTAAAATACTTGTATAAAACCCATAAAACAAACAAATAAAAAACCCCATAGAACAAAGAGCATGTGTAATAGCCTTCCAATATGGTTGAATATTTAATATGTTTGTTAGGATTATTTTTGTATAATGGAAGTTATTATTATGAAATGTGTAAATAGAACCCAAAAAGTAACTATGAGAATGGGGAGAATTTTCATGTGTGGACTGGCATGTGCGTCTGAATCTTACTTGCCCTTCAGTTCTATGTAACTAGAGTGTCTGTAGCACGTTAGTATGTGAACTAGAGCGTCTGTAGCACGTTAGTATGTAACTAGAGTGTCTGTAGCACGTTAGTATTAGCGCAAGGCTGAGCCCAGGGCCCCTGCATGTCCGGTGAGCATTCTGTCCCTGAGCTATGCCTCTGCATTTCATATTTCTTCTAAATGTTTTTAGGGTTACTTACTTTACTTTATGGATAGGAGTGCTTTGCCTGCATGCCTGTATGTGAACCAGGTACAAACCTGGAAGCTGCAGGGTCCAGAAGAGGACATCGGGTCTCCTGGACCTGGAGTTACAGATGATTGTAAGCCATCCCGTGGGTGCTGGGATTCGAACCTGTGTCCTCTGCAAGAACAGTCAGTGCTCTTAGAGCCATCTCTTCAGAAGCCCCATCTCTCTGCCTTTTTTAAGTTAGCAAGAAATATTTTAGTTGTTTTAATTTCTGAAGGTTTCAAAAACATATTAAAAATGAGGGGGAAACAAAATGTAAATTCTGTGTACAAGAACCCTGTCTGGGTATAATTACATGTGAGCCTAACCGATTCTGGCAGAGAGTGGCGGAGGAGATGCAGGATTCTCAAAGTGTAGCCTGCTCTATCAGTGAGCGTTCATCTTCCACGGTAGACAATCAACAATTGCTTACTGTCAGTCGAGGCCCTCAATTATTGTCTGTTTCAGGAATATGAAAATGCAACAAAGGAGGAAAACTGCAACCCAGACATGTGGGTAAACTTGGCCTGCACCTACTTTTTTCTTGGGTTGAAGATGCTGGGTTGAAAGGTAAAACGGGCTTTTTATATATTATTTTTGCTGTAATGTCTCTGTCCACTGTATAACTCCTATTCTTTTATAATCAGTTTTTGCTTTTGTACCTGTTTTTAATCTTTGCTTCTAAAGTGGGTGTCTTATAATATATATCTTTTCTTTCTTTCTTTCTTTTTTTGGTTTTTCACAACAGGGTGTTTCTGTGTAGTTTTGGAGCCTGTCCTGTAACTCACTCTGTAGATCTCTGAGTTCAAGTCCAGCTTGGTCTACATAATAAGTTCCAGGATCGCCAGGGCTACACCCCCATCAAAATAGATTGTTAGGGAAAATGAATTATGGGTAGAATTATATTCCTATTTATAAGACTTACCCCATTTAAAAAAGAAACTGGGGAACTTGAAACCATTCTTATTTTGTACCACATTTTTTCATATATGCTAGTGTATTTTTCCGTATGTGATCACCATGTCCTTTAGAGTACTGTCTGTTTCTAAGAGTTTGTATTGAGAAGACTGTTAGGCACAGAAAGGTCTCACAGCAGCCAGCTTCGTTTCCATACATACATACATACATACACACATACAAACATATACATACATACACACATACATACGTACACACATACATACATACACACATATATAATACACACATGCATACATACACACATTCATACACACATATACATACATACATACACACATATATAATACACACATACATACACACACATATACATAATACATACACACACACATACACACATCTTTTTCGTACACTGAAGTATGATTTGGGTCTGTGAAAGGGATACAGAATTGGTTGTCCGGAACAAACACTGGAACTTGAGAGGTGTTAGCCTTCTTTTCTTGGGTGCCTGTTTAAGGGTGGCACTTGTGGAAGACGATCCCTGGGAAATAGTGGACTGGTGTTTAGGAAAACATGACGCTGTGATTCTGGGATTAGCAGTGTGGGAGTCTAACTCTGGAAAAGGAGGTTGTGGGAGGGATTGAGAAAGAGCACTGAAGTGACTGAAGTGTCTGCAGGTGGGCTGCAAGGTGACATGCAGTTCCGCGTGTGAGCAGCACAGAGGCGGGCTGCAACGTGGGTGGGGAGCGTGGGCTGCACCGTGCGTTGGGAGCGTGGGCTGCGTGTGTGTGGGAGCGTTGGCTGCACCGTGTGTGTGGAGCGTTGTGCTGTGGGACGGACACCATGGTAGTGTCCAGTAGAAGTGTGCAGAGCAGAGCGTTAGAACAACCCCGTCTGCCTCCTGTCACCGCTGCTCCTGCGGGTGGGGACAGACTTTATTCTAGCAAACACACACATCCAGGTGGATAAGGGTTTGGGGCCACCCACCAGAGTCTCATCTTACTCTGGCAATGTACCAGCTTTCATAGACTATTGATTTATTTTTTTTATTTTATGTGAGTGCTTTGCCTGCATGTGCTCTTGGAGGCCAGAAGAGGGCACCAGATCTCCTGGATCAGGACTCATGGACGGTTGTGAGCTTGTGAGTGTTTGGAACTGAACCCGGGTCCTCTGCAAGAGCAGCAAGTGCTCTTAACCTCTGAGCCAGCTCTCCAGACCAACTGTTGAATTCTTTATCAAGAACATGGTTCTTTTTCTTTCAGCTCCAAAGAGCCGGCTGCAGAACCGCCTGCTGTTCCATCTGGCTCACAAGGTACTCATGTTCTCATCCCGCATGGCTTGCTTTAGAATCCGTTTCCTCTTCTTCCTCTTGCCAGCAATGAGGAAAGCATTTCTCTAGACTTTTCTGTTCATGTTACTAAATTGTTTTACAGAAAGTTAGTCAAGTCACAAACAGGCAGCATATAAAAGTATACTTAGTGCATTTAAAACTTTTACAATGTAATTATTATTCACCGTTAGTAATATGGCACGAGGTGCGACCTTTAGCAGGTCCTGCAGTGGGAGAGGGCCATGGACAGATGTAGACCTACAGACAAAACTTGTGTGGAGATTTATTAGTGGATAGACAAAAGAGACAAGAGAGAAAGAGAGAGACAGAGAGAGACAGAGACAGAGAGCTGCCTCCTCAGAGAAGAGAGGAGAGAGAGAGTAGGTGGAGTTTTACCTGATAGAGACCTCTGCACCTGCATATAGAACTTGAGAGAGCTGCCTCCTCAGAGAAGAGAGAGAGAGAGACAGAGACACAGAGAAAGAGAGAGAGAGAGAGCTGCCTCCTCAGAGAAGAGAGGAGAGAGAGAGTAGGTGGAGTTTTACCTGATAGAGACCTCTGCACCTGCATATAGAACTTGTCATGCGCAGAGGCACTGTGCCAAGTTCCCAAGGGGCGTGGCCAGGTCTGCCTGGATTATTACAATAACTTTACAGTGTTAAGAATTAAACCCAGGGCCGGGCAGTGTTGGCACATGCCTTTAATCCCAGCACTTGGAGGATCTCTTCAAGGGCAGGCTGATCTAGAGAGTGAGTTCCAGGACAGCCAAGGTTACACAGAGAAACCCTGTCTCAAAAAACAAACAAACAAACAAAAAAAGCAAAAACAAAAACAAAAGACCAACACTGATAGTTACATGTTGATACTATGGCAAAACAAAGCACAATTTAGAAAAAAATCCAATGATGGAAGAAATTAAGAGGAAAATGATGGGAAGTTACAATCATTAATGTACATTATCCAAACAATGGAGCGAACCAAAATATAAGTAAGGACACAACAGAACCTTTTTTTTTCTTAAATTTATTAGTCATTTTTAGTTAGGGTATATACTTGTGGAGTGACCCACTTCTTTGTTAATAAAATGAGCTTAAACGTAAGTCTAGGATATAGGTATTAAAACAGCCTGCCTATAATTTCAAAGCATTAGTGTAGGCTTATATATTTGGGTGCCTAGTCATCAGGGAGTGGCGCTATGTGAAAGGGATTAGGAGGTATTGGAATTCATGGGGCCTTGTGGAAGGAAGTCTGCCACCGGGAGTGGGCTCTGAGGTTTCAGTATTGCCAGGCACAATATTAGGATGTAGCTTTTAGCTAATTGTCCATTACTATGTCTGCCTACACACTGCCATGCTTCTTATCATGATGATAATGAATTAAACCTCTGAAACTATAAGCTAGCCTCCAATTAAATGCTTTCTTTTACAAGAGCTGACTTGGTCCTGGTGTCTTTTGCCAGCAATGGAACAGTAACTAAAACAAGTTGTTGCCAGGCGTTGGTGGCGCACGCCTTAAATCCCAGCACTCGGGAGGCAGAGGCAGGCGGATCTCTGTGAGTTTGAGGCCAAGCTGGACCGACAGCCTCCAAAACAGAGAAACCCTGTCTCGTAAAAACAAAAAACAAAAAAAAAAACAAAAAACAAGTTGTTAATGTTTTTAAGTATCCCACCTATCTTAATTAATTGGTCTAGCTTGAGACCTTTAGGGGGAGGCTCTAGGAATTGTATTTTATATTCTTGTATGTAGGCTAAATCCCATGACAGGGCTAACAAAAATATTCCTTTGGTTTTGGGTATTCCCTTTAACACTGGTTAGTACCCAGCTTTGTCTAGAAAGGAGTTCTGGGTTACTGACTAAGGCAGAAAACAAAGCCTTGGAAAGAAAGTTAATGTGTTCGTGTGTCGCATTAAGAGTTGCTGGGCATCTGGACGCTTATCTGACATATTAGGGTAATGTTTTGATCCGGGGTCTTAGGTAGCAGCTTAGGGTAGCCATCCCTGGAGCTGAAGACCCAGTCTTTCTTTAGAAGGTGGGACACAGGGGTTTATCTCCTTGAAGAGGAGCAGGGCCCTGCTTCTTGCACCCTACTGTCTTAGTCACTGATCTACTGCTGTGAAGAGATACCACAGCCAAGGCAATTTTGGAAAATACAGCATTTTGTTGGGGGTTTCCTGCAGGTTCCCAGTGAGTTTGTGGTCATCATGGGGAAGGCAGGCAGGCATGGCACTGCGACCAGTAGCTGAGAGCTTTACATCCTGATCCGTGGCAGCAGGCAGACAAAGTCCCGGCTTGGGTTTGTGAAACCTCAAAGCTCACCTCTAGTGTCTCATCCATTCCAAAGCCACACCTACTCCAACAAGGCCACACCTCTGAATCCTTCCCAATCAGTTTCAGTGAGTGAGGACTGAGCATTCAGACATGAGCCACCACGCCCACTGAAGGCGGTTCTCTTTTAGTCCCTGGTCTTTGAAACAGTTCCTCTAAAAGAAGATTTCAGGAGGCAGGAGAGAAGGTACCGCTGGTAAGAACACCTGCTGCCTTTAGTTCCCAGCACCCGAGAACTAAAGTCTGTACTCTAGTTCCTGAGGGTCCAGTGTCCTCCTTTGTCCTCCATGGGCACCGAATGCACATACATACATGCTGGGAAACACCCTTACATATAAAACTAACATGCATACATGCTGGGAAACACCCATACATATAAAACTAACATGCATACATGCTGGGAAACACCCATACATATATAACATGCATACATGCTAGGAAACACCCTTACATATAAAATTAACATGCATACATGCTGGGAAACACCCTTACATACAAAAGTAACACAAATGAACCTTTTAAAAATAAAAAAAGATTTGAAACACCAGGAAGGGGTGAATAGTCTATATATCAGGAGTTACACACAAAATATGTCAGTTCAATCCCACGTATAAACAAAGGCAGTTGCTATTTATAACACCTTTTTTCCATCTTGGGACAGAGTTTCTCTGTGTAGCTTTGACTGTCATGGAACTCACTCAGTAGACTACCCCCTCATAACTACCCCATACTTCTAATAAAATAAACATAAAAGTTGAATTCTCGCCGGGTGGTGGTGGCGCACGCCTTTAATCCCAGCACTCGGGAGGCAGAGGCAGGCAGATCTCTGTGAGTTTTAAATTTCCTGTTCTGGGTGTTTTATCTTCTCTTCAGTTACCACAGGTGTGATTTTTGTTTTAGGCTGTGAGAATTCAACTTTTTTTTTTTGGTTTTATGAGACAGGGTTTCTCTGTATTGTTTTGGAGGCTGTCAGTCCAGCCCGGCCTCAATAAGGATAATATCATCTCCAATGGATAAAAAATTGACTCTTACGAGAAGGTGAAAAAATACTCAACTTATATAAAATCATACTCATTTTAAATAAACACACAAAGAGTTATCAGTAAACATGTCAGTATATAAATTTTCTGGAAAATTGGGAGGAAAAGTAAAAAAAGGCTCCTTACAAAGAAGGCATGGTAGCCGGGCGTTGGTGGCACACACCTTAAATCCCAGCACTCAGGAGGCAGAGACAGGCAGATCTCTGAGTTCGAGGCCGGGCTGGACCGACAACCTCCAAAACAATACAGAGAAACCCTGTCTCGTAAAATCGTAAAACCAAAAAAAAAAAAAAAAGAGTACTGGCTCCTTTTCCAGAGTACCCAAGTTCAAGTCTCACCACCATATGGGAGCTCATAACATATGTAACTCCTCCTCTAAGGAAGGTGATGCCCTCTTTTGGCCTCCACAGATACCAGACACACATATGGTACACATACTTGTAAGCAAAACCCCCACGTCCCGGCCCCCCCCCCGCTCCTTCCCTAGACTACCATCTACCCTCTCTCCCTCAGCTCTCCTCCATCTTCATCCAGAAAGGGCAGCTTGAATCTTTCTGCTAACAGGGAGTACCTGGCCCTCAATGTTTACGTGGCCCTCTGCTACTACAAATTGGATTACTATGATGTGTCCCAAGAAGTCCTGGCTGTTTACCTTCAGCAAATTCCTGATAGTACCATCGCACTCAACCTTAAGGCTTGCAATCACTTTCGCCTTTACAACGGCAAAGCAGCTGAGGTAGACATGTACACGTGTTTCTAATTAGTTCTGTTCTAATGGGAGTTACTTTGTAACAGTTCCCAAATTAGCCATAAACTCTGGGGCCCATGACTCGGTAGTAGTGTTTTTTAACTTTAATTATGCCCAAGCCAAAGCTGCTACTGGCAACACCAGTGAGGGGGAAGAGGTGAGTCCATGCGTTTGTTCTCTCTTTGAAATTGTCCGGGTGGCGCATACCTTTAATCAGAAGACAGAGGGAGGTGAGTGACTGTAAGTTTGGGGCCAGCCTGGTCTATGGAGTGAGTTCCAGGACATGCAGGGCTACACAGAAAAACCCGGTCTCAACAAAAAACAAAAACAAAAAATGATGACACTTAATTAAGGTGCCTGCTTGTAAAGGCATTTGAATGATCATATCTAAAGGCATCCTTAACTTCTTTTCACTAAGATAAAAGGATAAAGGACTATTATAGGTTGATTTACTAGGGACTGGTACCCCATTGCTGTAAACGCAGCCAGCACTTAGTAGCACAGGATTCTAAACTACATATAGCAAGACCCAGCCTCAAAAAACCAAAACAGTCCATAGAAATGGCTTAGTGGGTTAAGGAACTAGCTTTGCAAGCCTGGTGACCCAAGTGCATCTCTAAGACCCACATAAAAAAGCTGGCTGTGGTAGCATTCTTGTAGAGGGGAGGCAGAAACAGAACGACCTGGAAGCTTGTGGGCCAGCTAGCCTGGAGTATGCAGCACTTGGAGCAGCAAAATGAACAGCCCTATTTCAGCAAGGTGGAGGCAAGAATCAACTTCTGAAAGTTGTTCTCTGTGTGTCATCGCATTACACACCTACCATATATTCCTATGTGCACACGCACACACGCATGCACACACGCATGCACACACGCATGCACGTGCACACAGAGTAAATGAATAATTTTAATTTGTTTCACTATGGTTTACATTAAAAAGTATGTTATGGCTCAACCATTAAGAGCACTTACTGCTTTTACAGAAGGCCAGGGTTTAGTTCCCAGAACCCATATGGTGGCTTACAATTGCCTGTAATCCAAATTCCAGGAGAGCTGACATCTTCTTCTGTCTTCTGTGGTGTGCAAAAACTCAAGCAGGCTCATGTGCATACGCAAAATTAATAAATCTTTAAAATCACAGTGTCAATCAACAGACAGATTTTACAGTAATGTTCTCCTTTTTTTTTTTTTTTTTTTTTTTGGTTTTTCGAGACAGGGTTTCTCTGTATTGTCTTGGAATCTGTCCTGGAACTCGCTTTGTATACCAGGCTGGCCTCGAACTCACAGAGATCCACCCGTCTCTGCCTCCCGAGTGCTGGGATTAAAGGCGAGGGCCACCAACGCCCGGCTAGTAATGTTCTCCTTTAACTTCAGTTTTGCTATTAAATATAAGGCTATCATATCAGCAGCCTGGTCTAGTTGATAATATCTGTTTTTATTGTTTACCCGGCCTCATGTCAGCTCCCTTTCTTTTCTCTCATAGGTTTTCCTCTTGATCCAAAGTGAGAAGCTGAAAAATGATTACATCTACCTCAGTTGGTTAGCTCGCTGCTGTAAGTTTTCTTTCTCAACATTACAAGGATCCCTTTTTTTTCTGTTATGTAATGTTTGGAAATCCCATTAAGCATTTTCTCGCCATCCTTGTGTCTGTAGAATGAGTAGACACTGAAATTACGGGTTATCTATGCTCCTCAGTAAGAGCTGCCATGTGAATTCGATTCCACCTGACACACCACTGCTACTGCTGCAGGATGTCAGGTTCCTTTGGCTTTAGGAAAGCTTTTGGACTCTGTTCAGTGCCATTAGAGACATGGTGCTGTCACACAGGTTTTAGCTTTTCATTTTTCAAGCCGGAAAAGTAGCAACATGTCAAAATGTAGTTTTTGTCCCTCGTATCTTTTCCTCTTCTCAGATTTTTGCATATAGTCACTATACATAGTGTCAGGTTCCATCAAGACAATCTCAAGTATATCATACTCTGACTGTATCCACCTACAAATCCTCCCATAGTTTCCTCCTCCCCATCTCCCTATGGAGAAAGGGTCCTGTGGATCTGTATAAAACCTAAGATTCACAAACAAGAAAAGACATTTGTCTGAGTTTTCATATGTTAATAAGATACTCTCAAGTTGTACATATTTTCTAAAACATTATATAATTTCATTGTTCTTTATATCCAGTGTGCTGTGCTCTCTCTGTCTCTCTGTCTCCTCTCTCTCTCCTCTCTCTCCTCCCTCTCTCCTCTCTCTCTCCTCCCTCTCTCCTCTCTCCTCTCTTCTCTCTCTCCTCTCTCCTCTTTCTCCCTCACTCTGTCTCCCCCCTTATCTGTTGGTGGGCACCTGGGCTATTTCCCGAGCATGACTGTTATGAATAGTGCAGAGATAACACGGAGTCAGGTGTCTGTGGTGTGAAGACCTGGTGTCAGTGTAGCTGCTTCAGGCAGTCTTCTCTGTTGTGTTGTGGTGCTAGGGATGAAGTGTAGCTGCTTCAGGCAGTCTTCTCTGTTGTGTTGTGGTGCTAGGGATGAAGTGTAGCTGCTTCAGGCAGTCTTCTCTGTTGTTTTGTGGTGCTAGGGAGCAAGCCCGGGCCTCGTGTGTGGCAGGCCAGTGCTGCACCCCTCTAACCCAACCCCACTCTTGTAAGATTTTGAGGAACTTAGAGAACTGACTTTTGTACCATTGGACTAATTGAATCCCCACCAACGGCGTTTTATCCCTTTCTCTCCAGTCTCTGTACTTGATTTACTTGGTGGCCATTCTGACTGGAAGAGGTGGAATCTCATGTGGTTTTCATTTTCACTGCTCTGACTGCTAAGGTTGCTGGGCATTTTTCACATGCTTATTGGCGATTATACTTTGTATTTTCAGAACTGCTAATTTTCTTAGCTCATTTGTTGCTTGTTGTTTACATATCCTAGACAGTAATCCTCCATCAGATACATAGCTTAAAGATAGTTTTGCCCTTTTGGTAGAATGCTTCTTCATTCAGATGTGTCTTAGGCCACACAGAAGCTTGTTAACTCGTGGAATCCCATTTGTTAAGTCTTGGCCTCGGTTATTAAGCTGTTCGATGCTTTTAAGAAAGGCCTTGCCTATGCCTCTATCTTGTGGCATTTTCCCTGTGATTTCCTCTAACAGTTTTAGAGTTTCAACCCTTAAGGTCTCTGATCCCTATTTTAAGTAGAGTGAGAGATAGGTGTGGACTGAAGTATCATCCTGCCAGGTCCCACAGCTGTTTAGTCCCAAATAAACACACAGAGGCTTATATCAATTATAAGCTGGCCTATGGCTCAGGCCTATTGACTAGCTCTGTCTTAATTACTAACCCATTTCTATTAATCTATGTATCTCCACATGGTCTTGGCTTACTGGTGATGCCTGAGTCTCTTGCTTTCTCTGCAGCTACATGGTGTCTGTCTGGTGATTCACTGTCTGTTCCTCTTCTCAGAATTCTCCCAGTCCAGTAGCCTCACCTATACTTCCTGACTGCCTACATCCTGCCCGTCCATTGGCCGAAACAGCTTTGTTCATCAACCAATAAGAGAAACATATATTCACAGCATACAGGAGGACAACCCCCATCAGATAGGGATCTGATTTCATTCTTCTGTATGTGGATGTCCACTTGTCCAGCACCATTTGTTGAAAAGGCTATATCTTCCCCAATTTGTTTTGAAACCCTTGTCAAACTCAGGTGGCCATACTGTATAGATTTAATTGTGGTTCCTTTTTTCTGTTCTATTGAGTTATATGTCTGCTTTTGTGCCTACACCTCTTTTGTTTTCATGTGAATTTTAGCATTTTTTCTGTTATTGTGAGGAATGTCATTCAAATTTTTTATGGCAAATACGTTGAAATTGTATATTGCTTTCGGTAATATAGCCATTTTTATTTTGCTGACTTAATATCTTAGGGGCGCTTTCATTTTTCTAGTGTCTTTATTTCTTTAGTGTTTAAATTTTCATTGTGTGGGTCTCTTCCTTCCTTGGTTAGGTTTATTTCCAGTTGCTGTTGTGTTGTATTTAAAACTATTGTAAGTGGATTGTTTCCCTGATTTCTTTCTTGGCAGGTTTGCTATTGGTATATATAGAAAAGCTACTGTTTTTTCCATGTATACTGGTACATTGTAGAAAGGGTTCATCAGTTTTGAAAGTTTTCTTGTAGAATTTTTAGGGTTTCCAATGTGTAAGATCATAGCATCTGTGAGTAGGGATAATTTGACTTCTTTCTTATTACTATTGTTTTATTTGTTTCTCTTGTCTTATTGCTCTAGCAATTATTCAAGGACTATGTTGAATAAGAGTAGAAAACATTTTAAAATATGAGAATATTTTAAAGGGTGGAGAAAATGGACACCTTTGTATCATTCCTGGTTTTGAGTGGCAAGTCTGAGTATTCCCCATTTAGTATAATTTTTGCTATAGGTTTTCTTTTTTGCTTATTTACCATTCTGCTGTGGTTTGTCCTTTCCTGTGCCTTCATGGATGTGTTTGTCTCTTTTCTATTTGTGTGATTCCTTCCATCCTCTTTTATAGTTTTGTGTTAGTGAACATAATTTCTTTTTAGTTTATATTTATAATGGCAAGTTTCTTTCTTCAGTTATGAAGCATAACTTTGCTGAAAATAATAATCTGGGTTGGCGATTACTGTCTATAAGAATTTGAAATATATCATTCCATGAATTCCTGACTTTTAGAATTTCGGTGGCAAAATTTACTCTTGTTTGATGGAGTTGTCTTTACATATGACTTCATACTTCTCCCATGAAGTTTCTAATGTTCTTTTGGGCCGTGTGTGTTTAGTATTTAACTATGGCATAGGAGGATCTCTTCTGGAACTATCTTCTTGGCCACTATACCTGGATGGACATCTCTTTCCCTAGATTTTCACATTTTTCCTGCTTTGATCTATTTGAATATATGTCTGTGCCATTGTCTTCATTGTTTCTGTTACATTTCCATGAATCATATATATTTAATCTTTTAATCATGTCCCATATATCTCATTTCTTCATCTTCCATTAGTACTTTATTTTTATTGTTATATGACTGCTCTGATTCATGGTATTAATCATTTTTCTCTAAAGGAACAAAACTGAGAGAATGTGTACACACACACCCACACTTAATGAACACACATATATATATATATAATTTGCTATACTGGCTTACAGACTAGGGTCCAGATAGTCCAACAATGGCTATCTCATGATGGAAAGGCTGAGACTCTGATAGCTATTCAGTCCCCGAGGCTGGATATTTTACCAATCTCCAGTCTGTCACTGGAGTCCTAGAGGATTCCTGGAGAGCTGCTGAGCTTCAGTCTATGCTGGAATCCCAAAGAGGTTAGTTCTAGGATAGGCAAAAGGCTGACTGCATCAGCCAAAGTGTAGAGGCACTTGTCAGAGAGCGTGAGGGCAAGCAGGTAAGAAACAAAAGCTTCCTTTTCCCAAGGGTTTCTGTATAGGCTGCTACCCTAAGGTGTGGCTCACATTTAGGGTGGGTCTTCTGGCCTCAAATAAGCAATTAAGGAAACCCCTGACGGTCATGTCCAGAATCTTGGGTTTTAGTTGATTCCAGATGCAGTCAACTTGATAACCAAGAACAGCCATCACATCCATGTGCTTTCCCCCAGTCCTGATACTGTCTTCCACTTGCTCCATTCCACTGAATTTGTCACCTACAAAATTTCAAGTTAAGTTTTCCAGTATTTCTTCCCATGAATTCATCTTTCATATCTTGTTTTGACTTTTAAATTTGATGTCATTTTAACAATTTCGGTCTTTTTAAAAATCTTTTTTCTTGCTGGGTGTTGGTGGCCCACATCCTTAATCCAAGCACTCGGGAGACAGAGGCAGGTGGATGTCTGTGAATTTGAAGCCAGCCTGGTCTATTGAGTTCCAGGACAGGCTCCAAAGCAATACAGAGAAACCCTGTCTCGAAAAAGCAAAAAAACAAAAAACAAAAACAAAACACCTTTTTTCTTTTATGTGCATGGGTGTGTACACTAAATGTTTGTGGAGGACAGAAGAGAGCATTGGATTCCCTGGAACTGAGTTATAGACAGCTATGGAGCTCCTTGTGGGTTCAGGAATGGAACCTGAGTCCTTTGAAGAGCAGCCAGTGCTCTTAACCACTGTGCTAGCAATGATTTCAATGAATGTTCTCACATTCATTCTTTGGAATTTTTTATCCCAGATTTCATCTAACTTATTTTCCTCTCACCAGATTTCATTACTGTGAAATTATTAATTTTTAAGAGTAGTTATATTGTCTTGATTTTTCAAGATTTTTATGTTTTTCCATTGGGACTTGTTTTTTTAATTTTTTTACGCGTTGTTTTTCAAGACAGAGCCCCACCACATGGCTCTGGCTGTCATGTAACTCACTATATGGACCAAGCTGTCCTCAAATCCATAGAGATCCATCTGCCTCTACCTCCCAAGTGCTGGACTAAAGGTGTGTGTTACCACACCTGCCTTTGCATTGGGACTTGCACATCTGTGATTATGTTTTTGGTTGGATTTTGTTTTTCAATCACTGTATTCTTTCAATGAGACTATTTTCAGTGTCAATGTTGTTTCTTCCTTTCTGATCCTAGAGTGTAGCTCAGCAGCTAAAACATCAGTCCACGTGCTCAGAGCACCAGGCCCATTATGCAGCTCTGCTCTGAGAGTAGACTAATTGAAGAAACACCTCTAACCAACAGATGTGCCTACCATGAAAATGCAGCAACAGTCAATTAAAAGCAACTGCCGCTTCGATTCCAGTAGTTTTAGGGGAATAAAGGAACAAGAGTAGTACATTGTGTGCTATGATATTAGTTATTAATGGTAAGGATAGACGGGAAATAAACTGCATAAGACTGGTAATTAGTTTGAGCAACAGAAAAAAATGTAAGGGAGAAAAGTAAATAGAAAAGAGAGAAGCTGAGTCATCTCCAGCTGAAGGGAGAATGACATTATACCAGATAACCTAAACAATACTAGCATTCAGGGGGCTGAGACCAGGAGAACAAAATTATAGGTCTACTTATATTCTTTGAGAGTGCCAATTTAAACAACAACAACAACAACAACAACAACAAAACCAAACCAAAAAAAACAGCACCACTTGAGGGGGAATCAGAAAATTCAGAAGTTCAAAAGTTCAAGGTCATCCTTGGCCACATGGTGATGAGTTTTGGATACATGAGGAGTTTGTGGTCAGCCTGGGATATAGCAGCCCTTGTCTAAAAAATAAACTAAATAAAACCAGATGGGACACAGATCTCTGTGAGTTCACAGCCATCCTGGGTTACATATTGAGTTCTAGGCCATCTAGGGCTACAGAGTGAAATCTTTTTTTTTTTTTTTTTTGGTTTTTCGAGACAAGGTTTCTCTGTGGCTTTGGAGATTGTCCTGGAACTAGCTCTTGTAGACCAGGCTGGTCTCGAACTCACAGAGATCCTCCTGCCTCTGCCTCTCGAGTGCTGGGATTAAAGGCATGTGCCACCAACGCCCTGCAATCTTTTTTTTTTAATAGCTAATCTGGGCTAGAGAGATGGTTTGGTAGTCAAGGGTGCTCACTGCTCTCCCAGAGGACTTGACTGGATCCCAGCATCTACATCAGACAGTTCACAAGGGGCTTATAACTCCAGTTCTGTGAATACAACATAAATCTTTAAAATAAAAATAAAAACCAACCAAAATTTATTTTAAAAAAACACAAGAAATAAAGACAACAGGACACAACAGAGGTGGTCCACTGAGTTAAAATGAAGCATTAGTTAGGGGAAGCGTAGAAGTGAAGGGAGGAGAGCTCAGTGGGAGTCCGGAGTCTGCATATGGGGCCTTATCTGGGTACAAGTGCCAGACCCGTATCTGTATAGTCCCTTGCATAGCCATTGTCGCCATTCAGTCGGATTTAAAATGTGCACCAGGGGCCACTGACATGGCTCAGTGGTAAATGCTTGTCTCCTGGAACCACATAAAGATGGAAGAAGAGAACTGACAGATTTGTCTTCTGACCAACATACAGGTACCCTGTACATGCCCCTCAGTCCCAAACACAAGCATCACACACATGATAATAAGCACCTTAAAACTATACTTAAAACGCCAGGTCGTGGTGGCACACACCTTTAATCCCAGCACTTGGCAGTCAGAGGCAGGCGGATCTCTGTGAGTTCGAGACCAGGATGGTCTACAAGAGCTAGTTTCTGGACAACCTCCAATGCTACACAGGGAAACCCTGTCTTGAAAAACCAAACAAAAAACAACAAGCAAAAAAACTATACTTAAAATGTTCAGTAATTTTTTGTAGTCACATGAAATTTTTAGCAATTAGATACTCTTTTTGTTGGTGGTACAAAGTCTCACTCTATATCCCAGGCTGGCCTTGAACTTCCTAATCCCTTGGAAGCTGGAATTACAAGCATAAACTACCACACCTGGCTAGCAATCTGATTCTATGACGGTGAAATTGTGAGCAGGATTGAATGAATAATGACTATACTCTTTAGCAAAGTAAAAACTTCTAGAAATCAACTCAGTCTAAAAGATAATTTTGTAAGTCTTAAATAATTTAAGTTTGATGTAATTCTGGTAAGGAGCCTATTACATGGCAACAATCACCATTTTGTATTTGGGTGTATAAATCCAAGTCCACAGAATGGCACCATAAAGGAGTTCTTTCTTAAACATTTAAAAAGCTTAAATCTGGGGGTTGAAGTGATGGTTAAGAGTGAGTGTTGTTATTGCAGAAGAACAGAACTCAAGTCCCAGCACCCAGTCAGCTAACAACATTCTGTTACTCCAGCTCCAGGGAATCCAGTGCCCTCTTCTGGCCTCCAAGGGTATACGTACACACACACACACACACACACACACACACACACACACACACACAAATTAATTTAAAAATGGTGGCACACTCCTATAATTTCATCACTTGAGAGGTTCGAGGCTGGAGGCTTGTGTTGAACTACAGCTTAGGTAATATCTTGAGACACTGTCATAAGTAAACAATAAATAATATAATTGTTTCCTTTTGTAGATATCATGAATAAAAAACCAAGACTAGCTTGGGAACTTTATCTCAAGATGGAAACTTCCGGCGAGTCCTTCAGCCTCTTACAGCTCATTGCTAATGACTGTTACAAGGTGAGTTTGGATGACAGGAAAGGGAAAACAGGATCAGCGTCACATTTCATCGGCTAAATATTAATCCTAGACATTTGACTAGCTATTGGTGAGAAGATTGCCACCCCTGCCTTTTTGTGGGGGTTTGAGACATAGTTTCTCTGTGTAACAACCCTGGCTGTCCTGGAACTCACTCTGTAGACCAGGCTGGCCTCGAACTCACAGAGATCTGCCTGCCTCTGCCTCCAGAGTGCTGAGATCAAAGGTGTGTGCCACCAACACCCAGCTAGATTGTCACCCTTTTTACTAACTATATGAACTCAGGGATAGGTTAGTATTTCAGAATCTCATCTACATATAAACAATGATTTAGAAATAGGCTTCTGATTTCTAAGGCCATGAAATCTCAGCTGCAATCTAGAAATATTCAGCAGACGACAGAAATTTGATTCTGAAACTTGAGAAACGTCATCTGGAAACAGATTAGGAAATACCATCAACATTTAAGTATTGATTAGCTGGGTGTGGTGGAGCATGCCTCTGATCTCAGAACTTGGAAAGCAGAGGCAGGAGGATCACTACAAGTTTGGAGCCAGCTTGGGCCATGTAGTGATTTCAAAACCAACCACATCTACATAGAAAGATCCTGTTTCCTAGAAAAAGAAAAATGAAGCCCTCAGAAACTGAGGTTAAGGGCTGGCAAGATGACTTAGGGAATAATGACACCTGCCACCAAGACTCCTGATGATGTGAGTTCAGTCCCTGAAACCCACAAGGTAGAAGGAGAGAACCAATTCCTGAGAGTTGTCCTCTGACTTTCATAAGAACACTGTGGTGCCGGGCGTTGGTGGTGCATGCATTTAATCCCAGCACTCGAGAGGCAGAGGCAGGAGGATCTCTGTGAGTTCGAGACCACCCTGGTCTACAAGAGCTAGTTCCAGGACAGCCTCCAAAGCCACAGAGAAACCCTGTCATGAAAAAACCAAAAAAAAAAAAAAAAAAAAGAACACTGTGGCACACAGACAGACAGACAGACACACACACTTTTCCTGCTTTCTCAGTCTCCCTCCCTCCCTCCCTCTCTCCCTCCCTCCCTTCCCCCTCCCTCCCTTCCTCTCCCATAGTTGTGAAGCTGTGAATATAGGTACATGGTGGAGTGTTTGCCTACCATGCTCAAGACTCTGAGTTCAACTTACAGTGCCACAACAAATAAATGTATTGATCTCAATTCTACAGATGAGTATTTTCATACTCCTTATGGGGAGGGTATCATCAATCTCAATATCCAAGGCTAATTTTGGGGATCTCTACTTTTGCAGGGTGATTATAGTGAAAACAAATTGATACCCAAATTGATAAGGAATATCATTATGCTGAGTAAAGAAACCAGGTTTTTTGTTTTTTTTTGTTTGTTTGTTTTTGTTTTTCGAGACAGGGTTTCTCTGTATTGCTTTGGAGCCTGTCCTGGAAGTCGCTCTGTAGACCAGGCTGGTCTTGAACTCACAGAGATCCTCCTGCCTCTGCCTCCCAAGGTGTGCGCCACCAATGGCCAGCCAAGAAAACAGTTTTCTTTTTTATGACTTATATAAAAAACATCCTTGAGCTGAAGCAGTGGTGGCACACACCTTTAATCCCAGCACTCTGGAGGCCGAGGCAGGTGGATTTCTGAAAGTTTGAGGCCAGCCTGGTCTACAAAACTAGTTCCAGGACAGCCTGTTACACAGAGAAACCCTGTCTCAAAAAATAAAACAAAAACATCCTTGCAATGATAACATTATCAAAGACAATATTACCAAGAAAAGATGGGTGGGTATTAGGATGCTGAGTATTCAGGGAAGGGCTTGAAGTCCCATGAGAGAGGGAAAAGGGAAATCTCTGGCTGTGGAGGAATCTGGATCTTGGTAGTGGAGTGACTTAGCATTCTACTCAGGATTGCCATCTCAACAAGGCCGATGTAAACTTCCTGATTTTAATATTTTTTTTACTATAGTTATAGAAGCTATAACCATTGGAAGAAATTGTGAGAGGTACAGGAGACATCATCCTGTCTTTGCAACTTCCTATAGATCTGTAATTATTTAAAAATAAAACTGGGAGCTGGCTGGTGGTGGCACATGCCTTTAATCCCAGCACTCAGGAGGCAAAGGCAGGCGGATCTCTGTGAGTTCGAGGCCAGCCTGGTCTACAGAGAGAGTTCCAGGTCAGACTTAAAAGCTACATATAAAGATAAAACTGGGGGTGCTGCTGGCTAGAGATGGCTCAGCAGTTAATGGCACTTGATGTTCTTCCAGAGGAGCCGCATCTGATTTTTAGCAACCACATTTATAACTTCAGTCTCAGGATTTGATACCTCCTTCTGACATTCATGGACATCAGGCATCCACAGAGATGTGCTGTGGTCTGGTCTGTATTAGCCCTACACAGCAGGGCCCATCTGTTCCACACTGATGTCTTTAGGGGTGCGATCAGGTCCAGTTGAATGATCCCAGGTCTGACCCTGAATGGGCGAGTATGGATGAGGTAAGGCCTAACTATCCAACAGCCCTAAGGATGAGACAGAGACATCTGGTCATATCAGGAAGGCTCCCAGTAAATAAGAATTATCATCTTAAGTAACCATCCAAAAGTGGGGGGGTAATGGCAGAAGACATCTATTATCACCTATAAAGGGCCAATAGGAAATATTTCCTTTAATCCTAGAGACACTCCTAAGTAGCACGTATTCAAGTCCTTAACCCCCCCCCCCACACACAAGCATGTCTCACTAACCCTCAGGGTGGGTGTAGACTCACCCTGGCCCAAGTCTTTTATTATACAGAATAGGAGCCATTCGCCACCGAGGCCAGGCATCTGTCGTAATCAGTAGATACCTAAACGACAATAGAAGTTCTGAGTTCTTAGAACTTGTGGCTGGGTAGAACGTATTTCCAAAATGTTATGTGGCCCCGACAGAGATGAATGTGGACAAAACACCTCTAGACATTAAATCAATAACTTGGCCAATGGGACCCTTCTGTGGACAAGACACCTGCTGCTAAACCTGACAGCCTGAGTGTGGTCCCTGAAATCCACATGGCGGAAGGACAGAACCTGACCTCCCCATGTTTGCCCTGACAATGAAATAAAAACACAAAAAGAAAAAACCTTAAACAAAAAACTAATTAGTGCTATATATAATAATATAGATGAATGTTAAAACTTGGACTCAAACTCAAGACACAATAAAAACGTATTTCATATAGATAAAATTCTGAGAGGCAAAACTTGTTGATCACATCATTTAAAAGCAAAGAGGGGCAGCGAGATGTCTCCGCAGGTAAAGGTACTTGCCTCTAAGCGCAGCAAACCTTAGTTTGGTCCCTGGAACCCAAATGGAAGGACAGAACCGAATACCACAAGTTTTCCTCTGACCTCCGCACATGCCACAGCACACATTACTCCCCCCAACACAAAATGTAAAAGTAACTTAAAAAGATGTAGAGGTAGAAGATAAAAGCATAAAGAAAGTAAGTATTGAGCACAGATGTGGGAATAACAGTTGGTGCCGGACGAGGAAGAAGCAGGGTCACTGGGAAGTAATATATACGCTAAGGGTCTTGCTTCTGACATCATGTGAACCTGGGCAGCTGATCCTCTTGTATTCATCCACGGGAAAGCTGTACATGTTTCACACACTGCTCTACATGTATGTTACGTTACATATTTGGAAGAAATGTGACGACAGATAGGTTAACCCTGAGAAGAGGAACACTTACTTTGTGAGATAGGAAGAAAGAACGGGACAAGGGAAGGGTATTATCTGTGCTTTCTCTGCAGTATAAAGCTGAGAATGCAGTGTAGATTTAAGGAACTGGCCAATGGCTGAGAGGTAGACAGGAAGAGTAACCACATCAGAGAGTGAAGAGGATCACCCTGCAGTCAGGAGCCGTCACAGCCATCTCGGGTGTGCTCAGCACGTGTTGTGAGGCCCAGGGAATGTGTCCTGTCGCTGGGACATATCTGCCGAAACGACGTAGGAGATTTTGTGCTTAGAATTGTCACTGCCTGGGCATTCTAAGCATTTAGGATAATTGGGAAAAGATGACCAGGTTGGGGTAATGTATTGAGGAGACTTGAAAAATACCTTCAGTTTCTCACAAGAGGGGAATAGAATTAGAAGAAATAAGAAATGTCTTGATGGCAGCATAATTCACCAGTATGTAGACAAAATGTTCTATCACATAAAGTAAGGGTGTATGGCTTGAAAGGATCCTATTCACTTAAACTGTGGTTCTGTGGTTCTGATTTTGGCTAGGAATTGAAATGGACCTAAGTTACTACCTCAAAATATTTTTCGTGCATTTGTTTCATCCTGTTCTGTATATTTCATTCCATTCTGTCTCTTGACTAAATGTCAATGCTACCATCATGCTTTCTTTTGTGCAGATGGGCCAGTTCTACTATTCATCCAAAGCTTTTGATGTCCTAGAGAGGCTGGATCCCAATCCTGAATACTGGGAAGGCAAAAGGGGTGCCTGTGTGGGCATTTTCCAGATGATTTTAGCTGGGAGAGAACCCAAGTAAGTAAACAAAAGGACAGAGCCTCCCCCTCCACCCGTGAGAGGATGCCTGTGGTAACTGTAAAGATAGAAACATTGAGATGTTACTATTTTCTGAAACATTGAGATATTTTCTGGAAGATCATTTCTTCCGGAAATGTCTTATTTATCTTATTTTATGAACTCAAATGACTATTAGTCCTACTGATAAGGGTTGTCCTTCTGTATACATGTTTCTCTTATTGGTTAATGAATAAAACACTGTTTGGCCAATGAGGCAGGAAGATAGGCAGGTCTAGGAGACAAGGAGAATTCTGGGAAAAGTAGGCAGAGAAAGCCAGCCAGAAGGAGTTGCCATGCTGCTGAAGGAGTAGCAACATGCTAAGGCATTGCTGGGTAAGCCACAACCTCGTGGCAATACATAGACTGATAGAAATGGGTTGATGGTTGAGACAGAGCTAGTGAATGGGAAGCCCTAGTCATCGGCCAACAGTTTAATAACTAGTATAGTGTCCATGTGCTTGTTTGGGGTTCAAGGGCCACGGGACCAGGTGGGTCAGAATCTTCAGCAACATCATACATGCTCTGGACACTAAGCATATAAAAGCCTCCAAATCAAGGGCAGAGTGTACATCTGGTTCTGATGAACAGCCAATTCCATAAACAAATGCTATTTGCATTTCTGATAAGCTGTCTAATTTAAGCCTCAAAGTAACAGGAATACAGTAGCCATGGTTGATAATTCTTTTTTGCTTCTGCCTTTTCATATTACAGGAAATGCTGAGGTATTTGATTATGTAAAACTAAGAGGCTTATAGGTCTATGTGAATAAAAATTAAAATACTTAAAAATGAATTCCTAGCCAGGTGTTGGTGGCGCACGCCTTTAATCCCAGCACTCGGCAGGCAGAGGCAGGTGGATCTCTGTGAGTTCAAGGCCAACGTGGTCTACAGAGCCGATTCCAGGACAGCCTCCAAAACAATACAGAGAAACCCTGTCTCGAAAAAACCAAAAAAAAAAAAAAAAAAAAAAAAAGAATTCCTAATACTTGGGGTCCTGAAGCAGAATTGTGAGCTCAAGTCCAGAAAGGCCAGCCTTGGCTAAAATTCATTCATTAATTTAGTATAAAAACTCTATGTAATATATTTATTGCTTAATACATAGGGGTAAAAAAATATAACAATTTTGCAAGCAAATTATCAGAATTTACCTCCTGCCTTGTGTCTGTCTACAATGCCAAATAAAAGCACTTAGTCAGGTGCAGGAGGTTCCTCAGAGAAAAAGGAATAGAATACAAAACTATAAGGGGGTGGACCCGCGGGCAGTTGCCAGAGTTCTGATGAGACTGCAGGGAAGCTTCAGCCCACTGCAACTAAAATCCAGGCCTTAATTATAATGAATGTGAATTTGGGGCTAGAGATGGCTCAGGGTTAAGAACACTGCTGCTCAGTCATGAGGCCTGGAGTTTGAATCCCAGCATACATGTCAGGTGGCTACCAAACACCTTTAACTTCAGCTCCCAGGGATCTGACACCTCTTCTGTCCTCCTCGGGCACCTGCATACACGCGCAAATACACAAATTGAGTTTTCAAGTTAAAACATTTTTTAATTCAAATGTAAATGATGGGTATTCACCAAATTTTAGCCCTTAGCACTATTCTCATCTATATTCTTAGTACATTTCAACCCTTTTAAAGAAGCCACCCATTGCTGTGGCTTAGAAAACTAGCAACTTTGTAACTGGCTTATGCTCACTGGGTGACTCATGAGTCTCATTGGATACAGTACAGCAGTGTGAGATTGGTGGTTTCCTTCCCTATTGAGACAGTGTGCTCTCTCAAACCCCTTCCTCAGAGAGACCCTCTGAGAAGTGCTGCACTTGCTCAGAAGCACAGGAAACACCCAAGTGGAGTATATCATCAGGGTCATGAAAAAGTGGGCCAAGGAGAACAGAGTGCCTATATAAACAGCTCTCTCAAGGGTGATGGTACCTGTGGGAAGATGGAGGAATGACAGGAGAGAAATGTAATGCATGCTCACAGAAATATCCCTGAGACAATTCTAGCTGCTTTCCCAAAGTTAAGTGCTTCCAAGGATGTTTGCACATAGGTTGGCAAAGAACAAGGATGGGTCAGGCTGGGAGAGAACTGAGGTCTGGATGACCAGGGATTCTCAGCATGAGGTGGGTGAGGCATCTGTGACCTCACAATTGAACCCTGCCCTAGTAATGCCAGGGTCTTACCTGAGGACAAGCCAGAGTCCAGAAGGAGGGCTTGATTCACAGCAAGTGCATGTGACTGGGTAAGTTTGGGCTGTTTTCTGGGATGGACACTACCTGAAATTAATCATGTGAGTGACTCACTCGGTTTGAGGCACTTCTTTATTGAGATCTTAAATGGGGACAATGAAACATATTTAAAATGACCCAACAAAGTGAGGTATTTGAAATGTCCCAGCCTGAGGACAGCTCATCCTAAGAAGAGCTAGAAACAGCAGGAGTCAGAAGTCTCATACGAGTGGGACTGGCCCTTGAAGACCACATGGAGGGAAACCCCTCCACTCACAGAGAGAGAGGCCTCGGGATGAAGCCACACAGGTGGATCTGCACCAGGACTCCAGCCTCTGACCTAGGTGATAAGGACGGAGGGTTCCTGTTTGTATGCCCACATTAGACAATCACATGCAGGTTGTTCAGGGAGTGTGGGCAAAGCATCCCTGGCACTGATATCTGTTCTTCCCTGATAATTCTGGTCCCTGGTGGTAACGATGTTTTCATTTATACTAAGATAGACATAGACAGCTGCCATAATTTGGGATCAGAATCCAATGTCACTGTCACAGGAAGCACCGTGGCAGTACTCTCCTTCTAATTCTGTGTTTATACATGGTTTCACTTGGATGTGTTTAGAGGAATGTTTAGGCTCTGTGGAGGGAGAAATATACACAGGATTCCTGGGAGGAGGGCATAATTTAACCTCACTGTGCTATACTGGGTGCAGGGTGATAAAGGATATGAGGCACAATGTGGTTCTTTAACAGGACCTGTGCTATAGCTGTAGAAAAAGCTGCAGTAAGTATCTGTAAGATGTGTGACAAAGAACTAGTGTAACAAGGACTCAGGAAGACAACACCCACAACTCACTGGAGAAAGAGGCCATGGGATGTTCACACCCAGCCTGTATCACATGAGAAGACTTCAGGCTCCAGCCTGGTGCAGAATAAACTCTGCCAATGGGACCAAGCCAGGGACAACCATCAGCTAAGGCAGCCCACAGTGTCAGGACAGGTAGGGAGTGTGTCAAAATCATTACTGCAGGGGTCTGAAGGGACTTTCCTTCTAGACAGCATGATCCTGATCTTTTGTAACTATCGGTTGGGGCCAGCATGGCTGAAGTCAGGGACACAATAAGAAACACAACTACAGCCATCTCCCTAACCTATCTACATTTACATTTAAATTATTTGTAAAATTTAATGAAGAGAGGCCTCTGAAGAGAGTGTCAACTCAGTGCATAGTCTATGATGTAAGGCTTGAGCCTCCAGAATGTTAAAGATAATTACTGGCACCACCCACCTGTTTGTGGCATCCCCACAGGGAGCACATGCTTCACAGGTAGGGGTGCTTCTCATGGGCTTCTCTAGACATGAACCTTCCTGGCAATCATCTTTACATTCGGCTCATAGGCCCTTCCCAGAATGGCCACAGACACTGATGCCATACTCTATCCGTTTTATTTTCAAACTTAAGCTTTTACTGAGGAGACCTGAGTTAATATATTTGTGGTTTAATCTGTATGTATGTCTGAGTGGATTTTGTCAAATTTCTTCAACTAACCACAACCTGTATTTGTGAGAAAAGGTGACAGCTGCTGAGGCAGAGTCAGCACCTGCCTCGGGACTCCAGTTTCCAAATGACGACAGGAAGAAGCTCTGCTGCTATACAGATCTCCAGAGTGACATTCTCAGAAGTCATTGACTGTTTCATGGCAGGACCAGGTAAGGGAATTTCATGACATCTTGATTTCTGGGCAATCCTCCTGCAAGCTACATTTAATAGTGGTGATGGGAGAGGTTGCACCCCAACATTTTCCATCAGCTGGATACCCAAAATACTGCAGATAGCACACTTAAAATCTCTTGACAAGAGAAACTTATTAATAAACTGAGCAGCAGAAAGGAGACACCAAGAGGTGAATTGTGCACATTAGGGCAGAGTATGATCCTTCCCTCCTGAACATGCTGGTCCCAGGGGTGAAGTTCCCTGGAGGAGAAGGACTAGATGTGAGCTTCTAACCAAGAAATGATCTTAAGAGAAGCCTTCAGGGACTGCCCCTAGATACCAGCCCAAAAGACATCTGTGTGCATCGACAGCCTTTGAGTTTCACAGAGTGAGGCCTGACCTCTGTGACCTCACATGAGGGTCACTGTCATAGTTCCGGGTGTGACCCAGTTCAGAGGGCAGCAGACCCCATTACAGTGGACCAGGATTTAGCTCAGGAGAAGGTGAGCAGAGATCTATTTCAGGTAAGAGATTACAGAAAATTCTGTAGGTAAAGAAGTTATCTCAAACCAGTGTACTTGGCAGGGGGCTCTCTGGAAAGGGGTGCCAAAGGCAGATTCGGTGTTTGAGGGGTGTTTGATTGACACGGCGGATATGACCATAAGGATTACAAAAACAAGGATCAGAGAAATACCCTCACTGAACATGGCCATGTAGGACATTCAGAGAGAGGTTGCCATCCCCACACAGCAAAGAGATGTTTTGATGATCTGTAGAGACTTGTATGTCTTAGCAAGGCATCCTCTAGATGATGGGAGGACTAACCTCTGCTGTTTCTTGTTACTGTGATATTCCATCAAGGCTTCAGACCACAGAAAGGAAATATACCATGGTGTCTTGTTGGGACTCTCCTATGTGTATCTCACAACCTAGAAGCAACAGACTTTCCACTTGAGCTCACAGACACCCCTCCACCATAGACAGTCAGCTGTGCAACAGGAAGGAGTTACACAAACAGCTTTCTCGCCTACATATTTCATCTTTGTATAACGTATAATTATTTCATGTGAACTGTGGGCTACTTGTGTCTGAGCCTGTGCATGTTTCCCCGAGGACAGGTCAGTGATGTTCTGAGAACATTTAAGATGCTACTTTTTTCCACTATCAAAGTCCACCTGAGTTTTCTTTTAATTTTTCAGAAATGCTGAAAATAGACCAAGATTTGGTCAAAGATTTGGGCAAGCATCGGCTGGAAAGGATCGACTACTTCCACCCTAATGATAAACAGGTACCCTGACCCTGAAATAGGCTGGACACCAAATCAGAAGATACGGGGAACCAAGGAATTCCCTTACCCTAAAAAAGCCGGGGCCCATTAGAGAGGAAATATGGGCCCGACCAATCAAATGAAGGAAGTAGGGGACAAACCAAGAAAATGAGTGTGCCCACGCCAATCCTGACCCTGAAAAAGCCCGGGCCCAAAGAAAGAAGAGATGTGGGCCTGGGCTAACACCTGACCCTTAAGAATCCTGAGGACAAGTATCCAGAGAATTCAGCCTGGGCCAATCAAAAAGAGAGGCCTGGGCCAGACCAAGAAAATGAGTGTGATCAGGCCAATCCTGACCTGAAAAAGCCCGGGCCCAAAGCAAGAAGAGACATGGGCCTGGGCTAACCCCTGACCCTAAAGGAGCCTGAGCACAATTATCCAGGGAATTTGGCCTGGGCCAGTCAAAAAAAGAGGCCTGGGCCAGACCAAGAAAAAGAGTGTGCCCAGGCCAATCCTGACCCTGAAAAAGCCCAGGCCCAAAGCAAGAAGAGATGTGGGCCTGGGCTAACCCCTGACCCTCAAGAAGCCTGAGCACAATTATCCAGAGAATTCGGCCTGGGCCAGTCAAAAAAAGAGGCCCGGGCCAGACCAAGAAATTGGGTGTGACCAGGCCAATCCTGACCCTGAAACAGCCCGGGCCCAAACACTAGAAGAGATGTGGGCCTGGGCTAACCCCTGACCCTAAAGGAGCCTGAGCACAATTTTCCAGAGAATTCTGCCTGGGACAATCAAAAAGAGAGGCCTGGGCCAGACCAAGAAAATGAGTGTGCCCAGGCCAATCCTGACCCTGAAACAGCCCGGGCCCAAACACAAGAAGAGATGTGGGCCTGGGCTAACCCCTGACCCTTAAGAAGCCTGAGCACAATTATCCAGAGTATTCGGCCTGGGCCAATCAAAAGAAAAAGGCCTGGGCCAGACCAAGAAAATGATTGTGCCCAGGCCAATCCTGACCCTGAAAAAGCCCGGGCCCAAAGCAAGAAGAGATGTGGGCCTGGGCCAATCCCTTACCCTAAAGGAGCCTGAGCACAATTATCCAGAGATGTTGGCCTGGGCCAGTCAAAAAAAGAGGCCTGGGCCAGACCAAGAAAACGAGTGTGCCCAGGCCAATCCTGACCCTGAAAAAGCCCGGGCCCAAAGCAAGAAGAGATGTGGGCCTGGGCTAACCCCTGACCCTAAAGGAGCCTGAGCACAATTATCCAGAGAAGTCGGCCTGGGCCAGTCAAAAAAAGAGGCCTGGGCCAGACCAAGAAAATGATTGTGCCCAGGCCAATCCTGACCCTGAAAAAGCCCGGGCCCAAAGCAAGAAGAGATGTGGGCCTGGGCTAACCCCTGACCCTAAAAAACCTGAGCCCAATTATCCAGAGTATTAGGCCTGGGCCAATCAAAAGAAAAAGGCCTGGGCCAGACCAAGAAAATGAGTGTGCCCAGGCCAATCCTGTCCCTGAAAAAGCCCGGGCCCAAAGCAAGAAGAGATGTGGGCCTGGGCTAACAGCTGACCCTAAAGGAGCCTGAGCAGAATTATCCAGAGAAGTTGGCCTGGGCCAGTCAAAAAAAGAGGCCTGGGCCAGACCAAGAAAATGAGTGTGCCCAGGCCAATCCTGACCCTGAAAAAGCCCGGGCCCAAAGCAAGAAGAGATGTGGGCCTGGGCTAATCCCTGACCCTAAAGGAACCTGAGCCCAATTATCCAGAGTATTAGGCCTGGGCCAATCAAAAGAAAAAGGCCTGGGCCAGACCAAGAAAATGAGTGTGCCCAGGCCAATCCTGTCCCTGAAAAAGCCCGGGCCCAAAGCAAGAAGAGATGTGGGCCTGTGCTAACCCCTGACTCTTAAGAAGCCTGAGCACAATTACCAGATAATTCTGCCTGGGCCAGTCAAAAAGAGAGGCCTGGGCCAGACCAAGAAAATGAGTGTGCCCAGGCAAATCCTGACCCTGAAAAAGCCCGGGCCCAAAGCAAGAAGAGATGTGGGCCTGGGCTAACACCTGACCCTTAAGAATCCTGAGGACAAGTATCCAGAGAATTCAGCCTGGGCCAATCAAAAAGAGAGGCCTGGGCCAGACCAAGAAAATGAGTGTGATCAGGCCAATCCTGACCTGAAAAAGCCCGGGCCCAAAGCAAGAAGAGACATGGGCCTGGGCTAACCCCTGACCCTAAAGGAGCCTGAGCACAATTATCCAGGGAATTTGGCCTGGGCCAGTCAAAAAAAGAGGCCTGGGCCAGACCAAGAAAAAGAGTGTGCCCAGGCCAATCCTGACCCTGAAAAAGCCCAGGCCCAAAGCAAGAAGAGATGTGGGCCTGGGCTAACCCCTGACCCTCAAGAAGCCTGAGCACAATTATCCAGAGAATTCGGCCTGGGCCAGTCAAAAAAAGAGGCCCGGGCCAGACCAAGAAAATGGGTGTGACCAGGCCAATCCTGACCCTGAAACAGCCCGGGCCCAAACACTAGAAGAGATGTGGGCCTGGGCTAACCCCTGACCCTAAAGGAGCCTGAGCACAATTTTCCAGAGAATTCTGCCTGGGACAATCAAAAAGAGAGGCCTGGGCCAGACCAAGAAAATGAGTGTGCCCAGGCCAATCCTGACCCTGAAACAGCCCGGGCCCAAACACAAGAAGAGATGTGGGCCTGGGCTAACCCCTGACCCTTAAGAAGCCTGAGCACAATTATCCAGAGAATTCGGCCTGGGCCAATCAAAAGAAAAAGGCCTGGGCCAGACCAAGAAAATGATTGTGCCCAGGCCAATCCTGACCCTGAAAAAGCCCGGGCCCAAAGCAAGAAGAGATGTGGGCCTGGGCCAATCCCTACCCTAAAGGAGCCTGAGCACAATTATCCAGAGATGTTGGCCTGGGCCAGTCAAAAAAAGAGGCCTGGGCCAGACCAAGAAAACGAGTGTGCCCAGGCCAATCCTGACCCTGAAAAAGCCCGGGCCCAAAGCAAGAAGAGATGTGGGCCTGGGCTAACCCCTGACCCTAAAGGAGCCTGAGCACAATTATCCAGAGAAGTCGGCCTGGGCCAGTCAAAAAAAGAGGCCTGGGCCAGACCAAGAAAATGATTGTGCCCAGGCCAATCCTGACCCTGAAAAAGCCCGGGCCCAAAGCAAGAAGAGATGTGGGCCTGGGCTAACCCCTGACCCTAAAAAACCTGAGCCCAATTATCCAGAGTATTAGGCCTGGGCCAATCAAAAGAAAAAGGCCTGGGCCAGACCAAGAAAATGAGTGTGCCCAGGCCAATCCTGTCCCTGAAAAAGCCCGGGCCCAAAGCAAGAAGAGATGTGGGCCTGGGCTAACAGCTGACCCTAAAGGAGCCTGAGCAGAATTATCCAGAGAAGTTGGCCTGGGCCAGTCAAAAAAAGAGGCCTGGGCCAGACCAAGAAAATGAGTGTGCCCAGGCCAATCCTGACCCTGAAAAAGCCCGGGCCCAAAGCAAGAAGAGATGTGGGCCTGGGCTAATCCCTGACCCTAAAGGAACCTGAGCCCAATTATCCAGAGTATTAGGCCTGGGCCAATCAAAAGAAAAAGGCCTGGGCCAGACCAAGAAAATGAGTGTGCCCAGGCCAATCCTGACCCTGAAAAAGCCCGGGCCCAAAGCAAGAAGAGATGTGGGCCTGTGCTAACCCCTGACTCTTAAGAAGCCTGAGCACAATTACCAGATAATTCTGCCTGGGCCAGTCAAAAAGAGAGGCCTGGGCCAGACCAAGAAAATGAGTGTGCCCAGGCAAATCCTGACCCTGAAAAAGCCCGGGCCCAAAGCAAGAAGAGATGTGGGCCTGGGCTAACCCCTGATCCTAAGATAGCCTGAGCCCAGCTTTCCAGAGAATTAGTCCTGGGCCAATCAAAACAAATAGGCATAGGCCAGACCAATTAAATAAGTGTGCCCAGGCCAATCCTGACACTAACACTGAGGAAATTTTGGCATGAAAACTAATGTCATATCAGCACAGATTAATCCCCTCCCAAAGAGGCTTGAACCCATGGCCAATCTAAAGTGAAACAATACCGTGGATGCAATATGTACCATAAGGTTCTCTGATCAAGGCCTTAATTTCAGTTCATATTTTACACCTAACCAAGACATGAGTACACACAAATGCCAGCTTGTCACGGATAGCCTTGGACTAACCCTCTATACTTCCTATAATGATTGATATAAGTGACATTCTGAGTACCAGACATGTGGCTCTCACACACACACTTCATTCAATCCGACATCAACACGCTCAAAAGGATGACAACATTGACATAAAGTGCCAAGGGCTCACCTCAATAATCCAGTAACATGGATGCATCTTATCAAAAAGGGTGTTACAATGCACCCTGCACCTTATCTTGACTGACTTTTTTTACAGAAAATTTCCCATACTGGACTCTAGCCATAGACTGCTCACCTAGAATCTTGGGCAAACCCAGAACTTGATCTGATTAACAGAAATCTGGATGCATTATCCCCTCCAAGAAGGGTAACTTGATAATGACATGATTATTGACACAGGTTCAAGGCCATAAGCAGACCTGAAAGGAAACCCAGCACCACCTTGAACCCTAAGTAGACTGGACTAATATTAAATGGTGTGTGGACCACACCCTCTAGTCAACCCAGGACAAGATCCCACCACAAAGGAGGGAGTCTTTAAAGGGACAATGTATCACCTTAATGACCAAAGGAAATGGACATACCCATGCCGGCGACCTGTTCTGAGGTCAGGCATTATCTCACTTCAATTTTTTTGGGACAAATCATAGCCTCATTTGTGACCCAGGTCAAAGCTCACTTTAATGACCAGAGGAAATGGACATACCCATGACGCTGACCTGGCCAGAGGTCAGTCATTTTCTCCCATCAATTTATTTTGTTGGACAAATCATAGCCTCATTTGTGACCAATCCATGCTATTTTACTTAGAAATTTGGACTCAACCACAACCATTATTGTACTGATGTTTGACATAACATCATAGACCATGAACTGTCATCGATGCTAATCTAGATTCTTCTTTGCGG